CTAATTATTCCATTGATGTTAAAACCACATGATGAGTGCTGGCCAAAAGAAGACAAATATAAGGGGAAACCTTTTTTGATTGCCACCATTTTTACATGACATGTTACTTGTTACGTGTTAGACGCTTTTATCCAAAGCAACCAACATACTCAATACTGTGGACAATCCCCACAGGAGCAATTTGGAGTGAAGTGTCTTGCCCAGGGACACAACGACATGCTGACTGCAGTGGGGATTGAACCTGTGACCCCACAGGCTCTATCCACTGCGCCACACGCCTCCCATTTGCATCAAGGTATTATTGAATATGTGTTATAGGTACATTAAGAACAAGCAGAGGTGGCTATATGTACGGTGGTCAACTACAGCATTTAGTTCTTTACATTTCAGTGTATTAAGTGAACAGTGCTAAGAAGGCTTCAGAATACCTCAATGATCTTCAAGAACTATCTGATTTAAAAATGGTGTCATCATGCTTTAATTCATCCGCGACAAAAAAATGGTAGTGTAACAAATAGACAATGAAGATTAAATAAACAAATAATATGAATCGAAGATTTGGGAACTACTAACAATAACAACTTATTATGGGATAATACTTCTTTAAAACAACCAATGTTATCGATTATTCCCTCACATCAACCACAAAAATGGTTGATCTAATGTTTTAATAGCAGTACCAAAGACTGACTGACATTGATTATGTGTTAAGGTCAGAGGGGGCTTAAGGTTATTTTGGGTAAAAGGCAGGGAGATATCCTGGACAGTATCCAGTTGAACCAAAACGCACTGGGGTAAAAAGAAAGGTCACCTTAAATGGGTAAAATCATTTGCCAATTATCTGATTATAGAGGTCCTTCAATCTGACATTGAATTGGGAACTACTGTAGATAGGGAGATATGTGTGTGTGTGTGTGTGTACGTGTGTGTACGTGTGTGTGTGTGTGTGTGTGTGTGTGTGTGTGTGTGTGTGTGTGTGTGTGAACGTGTGTGTGAACGTGTGCGTACCTAATGTTGCCATGGAGAAAGTGACCAGAGGGTCTCATACATTATAATGCAGCATTCTTTCAATTCTAGGTGTTTCTATCCCTAACGCGAGGATCATGTAACTGAAGTGGGAATACGAATTTGTAATGTAATTACGGCAAACAGAAGTGTTGTCAGCTGCTCTGCAAAGTGGGATAAATAGTCAGGGTGGTAACAAGGCGGGCAAACAGGCACTCGAGAGACTGGGGGCTGGGGAATACGCTTTGTGTCCATTCACCTTCCTTCTCTGGCAACAACCCTCTTCTTCTTCCCTTTCTACCTTCCATCTTTTGTCAACACGATTCTCAGTCAACCACTCTGAGCTGACAGCAGTCTTAATGTGCCAAGGTGTAGCCAGGTCAGTGCCAGGTCGCAGCAGCTTAGTGCTGCTGTTCAGGACTCACACAGGATAATCTATCCAAGAGTAAAACTGTGTCCTATCTCACTTTCCAAATGTGACAATGTGACATTCACAACCACCTCACGTCCTGATAGGCCAGCTATGAGGAGGAGAGGAAAGGCAAGGGTTAAGATTTCTCTCCTTACAATTCAATACGTTCACTTTCTCCTTTTGTTTTATCTTCTTCTTTCTACAGTTCCATTGACAGAGCTTAAATGATTCATAAATAAAAAAGACAACTTAGGAAGTACTGGACCGTTAACTGCTCCCCAAATTAATGAATGCATTGATTAGACAGTAAAGAAAAGGAGAATCTTATTTTCCGCCTGTCCAGTCAGCTTTGAGATGTAAAACAGGGGTTTCTCTGAACAGCAGCAGCTGATTCGGCTGGCCCTGATAACCAAGATCTACAATTAACATTCAGTCTGAAGAGCATCTTTGATTCGAGGAGGGAGAGTGGACAGAGATGTATTGTGCACTCACACATGCATGTCCCTGAATACAAACACAAACACACCTGACAGCTGCAGTTCAACCCTCCCTTCCAGCTTATAAGTCTAATTATCCGGTGGTGGCCAGGGCCCCAGTGGGGAGCCTCTGAGAGAGTGTGTGTGTGTGTGTGTGTGTGTGTGTGTGTGTGTGTGTGTGTGTGTGTGTGTGTGTGTGTGTGTGTGTTGTGTGTGTTGTGTGTGTGTTGTGTGTGTGTGTGTGTGTGTCAGTGGGAGGGGGCTGTAGACCGGGTGGCTGGGACCTGTGATTTGATTTTGGAGGAGCAGATGGCAGGCTGCTGCTGCAAGGCATTTGGAGCATGTGTGTGTTTGTGTGTTTTTGGGTGAAGAGCCTTACTTTTTAGGAAATAATATGTTTGATAACATACACATAAAACAAAGCACTGGTATCTAAACTAAAGATTAACATTATTTGTGACGATTTGTGAATACTAATGTACACTTCCTATTTCTTTCATTGTACAATGCACTTTTTCACACATGGACAACCAAACATTCGGAACACCATTCAGTTCAACATTAACAAACAAACTACAGTCCCCAAGATGACGAAGCAGTTTAAAGTCTAAAAATGTACTGGATAGAGTCTGTCCCTCGCCTCCAGTCTAGGATGCTGTATGCTAGTTCTACTCTGAACATGCTGTAATTGGTGTCGATCTTCCAGTCTGACTTGGTCTGACCCCACAAAACGTCAGTGTTCTTTCAAAGGAACTGACACTACAAAATGCCCTTTTTTTAAAACAACCAATGTATTTGATTTTGTTTATTTTTTAAACACTGTTACATTTGATATATAAGAACACATATTTATGAGATGGGTGTCTTTACTTGCAAGTGAAACCCATCTAACTCTGAATTTAAGGGGAAATTATCCTATTTGTTTTGCATTGTAACAAAGCTTTTCTTAGCTCATGAAAAGTAGATGTTTTGGACATACATGATTTTTACAGGATAGCGACTACATGTACTGTATGTGGGAAAGAGGCTTCCAGCCACCAGCATGGCACCACAAAGGATGTGAAAAGAGGCTTATCAGTAGAGAGGATTCATGACAGAGACATCCAAACAGTCAAGCTGTCAGATTATTGAGACTGTTAGCTCCTCTTCAAGCTGAGGAGTGCAGAATCTAATGTTTTCCCATTCAATTCTCTAAGAAGGCAATACGGAAAAATACAGATTATCTTGTCAGATATAACAATTTATTTTGTCACTGGCTATCTAAAAGCCTCAGCCCTTGTTGAATAAAACATCTACTGACTGAATTGACTGATACTATCATGGACAGGATACTGTCAGGAGTCAAGCTCTGGTGTCTGGATCACGTTACAGGCTTAATGGGTTAAACCTCTAAATCACACTCTTAATTTAATTCTGAGACACTCCTGTTGAAGCCAAGTGAGTCAAACGATTCTAAAGCAAAGTGCCAGTTTTTAAGTAGTGAATCATACATAATGGCACAAACACACTCACTGCCTTTCCAAAGGCAGCTACTGCTACTGGTTAAAGCTCTAAATGGCTGATTCAGCTAAAGTGAAAGCTGAAAAAGTAGAAGATATTTGATTATTAACCTAATAATACTTTCTTGTCACTTTCTATGTTAAGGCACCATCTAGGTACAGGATATTACTTAAAAAAATTCAAGAATAGTGGAGCTGTATGCTGTATAGGCTTCATTTGATTTATGAAAACAATGCAGTTACAGAAAGGGTGCTTCCTCTCAATCTGTCTAATAATATGCTAACCTTTTTGGTCTACAAATGAATTGGAAACTCACAACATAGGGAAATAATGGAAAAGCTAGTATGATACAGTTTACAATAAAAATGTATCCTAGGTACCATACTGTAGTAACATGTACTTGAATGTACCCCATAAAGTCCAATGAAACATTCTTCATAGCATTACAGGGTGTGAAGTGGCTGGGAAGCACAGCTGGTCTGCACAGCTGATGGAGTTGGTATTTACTACAGATGGAAATTGAGAGATAAATGGTTTATGTGACAGATATGGGACTGTAATAATCACAGTGGAGAATCAAATAAGATTCTCACGAGAAACATAACTGTGTGCAGCTGTGGACAAACCATATAATTGGACATTTTTTGTTTCAGCACCTTGTTTTTGACCATATCAATCCCTGACATTATTTACCGTTTTAATCTAATTTGAAGTCTTGAGTACAGATGTTATTCTATTATCTGAATAATGGAGGAATAACAACAATTCAATAAGCCTGGTATTTAGTAAAATATTTGTTTAACTACTGTGGAAAATCCTATAAATGTGCATAAAATCACATACATTTGATAAATGTGATTCTGTCAGACCCATGGACACGTTCATCCCCTGAAGTCTCAAACAAGCCTTCATACCTCCTTAAGGTTACCAAGTGTTTGCATACAAGCTCCTTCATTTCCAGTTTATTTTTGACCCAGTACTTTTGTTTGGTTACTTACATTAAACAGCTTTGCCCATTTTCGTATATCCGACTATCCAGATGAGACAGCATCATATCAATCTTTTGGATTAGGGGCACCATGTGTTCAAACTCACCTCATCTCATGACACCAGGGACCCTAAATGAGAATCTCAGATGTAAATAATACTATATATGAGTCCCAGGTGGATAGGCTTATAGTAAAAACAGTCTCAATGGCTTAATGGGATGGCAAGGTATTGAGGAAACTGTACTGATGGATATAGCACAACGTAAGTGTATTCATTAGTGCCTTGTTGAAATAATCGTGGCGTGTAATTATGTATGGATGATTAAATGGGGGGTAATTACCTAGACTGCTGACACAGCTGAAACCTATAAATCACAGCACTTTTTGGAGATGAAACCTTTGGCTAAAAAGCTCAGCTGCTCCATCTGGTTTTCATATGCACACTATCCAATTTCATCTCACTGAAAACACAACTCGTTCCAACTGTCAATGACTTCATCGATATTGGCAAGAAAGAAAAATACTTGTTTTCTCTAACTTGTTTTCCATGAGTTTGGTGGTTACAAAAGCTGCAATAATCATTTAAACTAAACCAAGCATGCATTGTAAGAGACTCACCTGCTTGCCCTCCAAAGTGTACAGCCTCCTCACAGCTCCAGAGTCCAGCTTGATAGCGTCTGTGATGTCAGTGAGCACCTGATCAAAGGAGTGAGCCGTCTTCTTGTTGAGCAGCACCCGCACTGCTTTGCGGGGTTTCACTCCGCTGCGGATGACTGTGACTAGTTTAGGTTTGATGAAGTCCTTGGACTCACGCTGCAGCTCACTCTTGGACGGGAGGAGACAGGAGAGGGAGCGCGATGTGCCCGTTTTGCTGCCCACGGCCCAGTTAGGGTTAACGTTCTTGTTGTAGTCCACTCGTCTGAAGGGCTCGTTTGAGGCACACACATAACTCTCACCTGAGGGAAGAAAGAAGGTGGTAGAGTTGATCTCTTGTCTTCAAATACCACAATATGTTGACCCAATATCTGGATAATGATATTGCAACAATATGTTTATGTTAACTATACTGTAAGTGCTTTCATAAAACATTTACACAATGAGATATCTGATAAATCACCGAGTCATTTTGATGACTGAATTAGTCAAAACAGATAATATAAAATTATAAATCACTTTACTACACTGTTTCCTATATAACCAGAAAAAGACAACATTTAGGCCATAATGAGATATCCAAAACACAATAACCAGTCATTTATCCTAATATCTTATATCGGTATACTGCCGAGCACTATATACTATGTTTAAGAAATTCTAAAAATGTGTTTTAAATTAAATATTGGAAAGATCCCACACACATACTGCACATACTTTGGATCAGAATTCATCTGACATGTTGGGTATGCATATGCATTATGCAAAATAACATACCATGTCCACATGCCATATGGGAGTCAGAGGGACAACAAAGAGTTAACATTCCTCAGTAGAAACAGAAAGGCGCATTGAGAGGCCAGGCCAGTACCACTGTCCTCTCTCCCCTTCAGCTGCCGAGCTGCTGCGTTGGCCTTCATCCAATGCAAAGCACTTTGTTTTATCTGCCAGCCTTACATTCCACGTTTTAACAAGCAAACGTTTCCCCTTAAGAACAAAGTCATGTGACGAGTACAGGGCCGAAACATGTTAACCACAGGAGGAATGTCTGGTGATTGTTTTGAAGGCTGAGTGTTGGATGAGAAACTCAATGATGTTCCACTCTGAGTAAGACAAAATCATTTCTGTTCATGCTACCTTCATCACAAAAGTATTTACCACACAACATGGATGTCTCTGAGAATAAACTTCTGCTTAACAGACACTTCACTAAGCGTACAAGATACTCATGTTGTAGCAAATATCCACGGTTTATATCAGTGAAGATATTTAAAGGGCTAGACGATAAATATTTCTCATCAAAAATGTCAAGGAGCAAAATAGCAGGCACACATTGAGAAACTGAAAAACCATAGCTTGGTAAAATGTCTGTCATGCCTTAACTCTGCATTTCTGAGTCATTTGTATAAACTGCATAGCACTGAAACACAGGCTAGATTAAGCTGAATAATGTATAATCCTATAAGTGGATCAACCTCTGAAATGTACTAGTATACACCTTAAACAGGTTTGTGGGACAGTGTTAAGAATTGTTCTTGAAAGTTTTATTATCTTTTGCTAAACACCTGTTTCTACAAACAGTATCAAATCCGAAGTATACCATTTTAGTTATTCGACGAATGTCAAGACAAAAGAAGCAAGCTGCAGTGAAAGAAGGCCAGATGAGACAGTGCGTCCCACGATACCTGGTTTTATTAAGCTCGCAATTAACCAAAGGCTAATTAAAATACAAGGCCACAGCTGGAGGGATTGAGCTTTGGCTGAAAACTAAAACAAAATATACCTGGGGGTGTCATTCATCGGGGGGACAATGACAGGATGCTGGAATGACCTCAGATGGTGACTGGTGACAGGCTATTCCCCGAGGTGCAGGGGTCTCAGGTGCTACATCCCCCAGTGATGTGAGGGGAGCCCCAACCAGCCGCCACTGGCTGCTGTCCTCATGTGGACCACAGATGAGCTCAGCTTTAACAGAGTTGTCTAACATGTCCAGAAGCTTTAATGCAGTGCTCTCACATCTGTCAACAAACCAAAACCAGAGCAATGGCAGTGAATGGGAATCATACAAAGGGGGTTATATTAAGACGATATACATTTGTCTTAATATAGTGACCCTATGATCCAATGATATTCTCAGAATGCATGGCCTTCTGTTTTGTTTTACTGACTTAATATTCACCATTCTAGTAAAAGGAATTGGACAAGTATGGTGAGCTGCTGACTACTTCTTTTACTTGGTGAACATACTAAATGGCACATCTTAAAGAGGGGTTTCGGGGGATGGTCCCAATCTGTTGCTTAGCTTATTCAAATAATGTCAAATATGTCAATGTCTAGTTTGTTCTTTTATCCAAGAAATCCCTTTCAATCAAGCATACATTAATGATGCAGCTCAGCAGGGTTAGCCTCGAGCCATACCCCAAAAGCTGCAACAAATTAGGCATTTAAAAATATTCAAGACTGAGCGGCTCCTAAAACTGTGAATTTATTAACCACAGATAATTAAAACCTAAATTGTTTAAAACGGAAGGTCTCCAGGCAAATACAAAACAAGTCTTGTTCATTCGCAAGATTTCAATATTTATTTATTTGTAATTGTTTAGCTTCTATCAAATCTCTGGGGTGGAGAGTTTAGTTTTACAACTGTGTTCCCATTTATAGTTTTAGATATTAGCCTAATTAACTTTTTACTGATGCCTTCAGTCGTTTCCAAGCTGTGTAAGGCCAGTGCTGATGTGAACCTTATTAGAACCAAAACCAGGATGCTTTTAATGTGAATAAGTTATAGGAAATACAATTTGTGTGTCACCAAGTTCGCAGAGCTTAGCGGTGCTATTCTTCAATACATACAGATTTAAAGAACTGCATATTGACCAATGTGGCACTATTTGGAAAGCAGATCAGTTTTAAATATTCTGGGAAGGACAAACAGCCACAATGAGCTGAAAAGGGCTGCCGGCCCCTCTGACGTTTCTAGCAAACCTCCAACACGTGACAAAGGTAAACAACTCGACCTTGCTGTGCTATCAGCAGAACACTCCCACCTGGCCAGCGCTGCTCGACTTCTCCCGGTTGCTCTTGGCACGGCTCCATAAGAGCTGACTGTGATAAGCTGTGGGTTTAATAATCCCATCCAGCCAGAGGGGACACACATGCAAATGGTGCTTATTGGGTTTTTACACAAAAGAGCCCCAGCAGGCCTCAATCTATGGAGGCAGACTGCTGAGCTGTGCAGTAATGTTTCCTTTCTCTCTCCATTAGATGGGCGAGTAAACAAGGACAAGACACTGATGCTCTGCCACCCTGCAGTGCATCTCACATCTGATTTTACAAGTCATAAAAACACTTTCCCACTTGCCCCTCAAGGTATCAAGCCATGTAAATAGTTGGCTAATTTGCTGTGTTTTTTTAGTTGTCTTAATTGACTTTGGCCATTATCACAAATACAAATAGATTGAAGGAAGTTTAGTAAAGGGGCTCACAGTATTTAAAAAATCTAATTCTAAAACTCAATATGAATGTGAATTAAATGGAAATGGGACCATGGAAACACCCCCATCAGGGCTCTTCAGAAGGACCAGGTCCACTCATGCTGTGTCCATATGGATTGGATTGTAGGGATGGGAAATAATTCTAATGTTTATGACCTGCATGTGTTCAAGTTTTCAGAAGAACTGAGACCGTTGTGTGCGGTTAAATTGTTTTTTCAATCACCTTGGATGTTGGACCAGCTGATGTGGGACATTCAATTCTTGGATAGAGAAGTTTTTGTATCATTATGTTGGATTATCTGTTTGAGTTTTTGACCTTTCCAAAACTTGGGTGATGATGTGAACACCATGTATCAAAATAAAAAAGTCTACAAAAACTTTACATCCAGAATAAATGAAACACAACTAGTAATGCATGTATGCCCAGGATCCTCATTTCAGAGTTTCCTGCACATTAAGTGCAGAGGTGCAGTGGCAGACTGCCAATGCACCAAAACCACTTTTGCTCAAATTGCCAAACTAGTGAAGCTACAGAATTTAGATCAGGCTCTGGCCTAAATCTTCCCCAGTCATTCAGGAGAGGGGGCATAGGGAATCAAGTTCAAGTTGTATAAGGATGTGTGTGAAAATAGACGAGTATACAAGAATAATGACTGTAGTAAGACATCTGTGGATCCTGAGTGTGTGTGGCAGAGCCGTGACCTCTCCTGTTAAAAGAGGATTGCAGCAGGTCACAGTACACGCAGGTCGCAGGTCGCAGGTCGCACACACACACACACACACACACACACACACACACACACACACACACACACACACACACACACACACACACACACACACACACACACACACACACACAGACACATGTAGATTATCTTATTACTGAGAGGCCACAGTCTGTCCCTGCAGGGTGAATCACACTGCACGAAAGGGAAAGGGAAGGAGAAGACTGTGCTCTATTGGTGTCAGCAGTGTGAATCTGCATTTGACATAATGTCATAAACTTAAAATAGTATCGATAACTTGTCTGCTAATAATGCACGAAACTAAATGTGTTTAGGGAGTAATGTCAGTCCTGCAGTTCCTCACCAAAATGACTGAACTGAACACTTCAACTAATAACTCGATCATTTAACTTTATAAACTTGACTTCACCGATTTTCCAAAATTGTTCTCACATTTCTGCAATTAAAAGCCATTATATCGCCCCTACAGTTCAACAAACAAACTGGATGGGGGAGGGAAACTTCCATCTTTCAAGCCCCATGGGTGAGATCAATTTAAGAGAGCATCCAATGGACCCTGCACCACATTCATCACACATTCGTTCCCAGGCAGGATTGCACTTAGAGCTACACAAGGCATTTTCAAACCAGCACCAACTCAGCTCACTACAAACTAAAAAGGGGAGAGAGTGAAAGAGTCCAGCTGAGATCAATGGACCCTGAAGGCATTTCTGCCTGTGCAGAACTAAAGCTGCACTGAGGAGGGGTCTGCTTGTCTGCATGCACGACACTGGGTCAAAGATGTCAGAACTGTTATGTCAATGATGCAAGGGAAGCTCTGCACTGCATCCATTATACTGTAATGTCCTTCAGAGGTAATTTGATAGATTTAGCTACAGTAGAACTAGAGGAGCACACAACTACACTTTGTCCGGCACAACTTTCGTGCAAATGGCAACATAGACATCCAATTCACAAAGTAAACAGCATCAAGAGCCATTAGGGGGTCAGCCCTTATCAATGGGAACATGTTCTAAAAGTGACTTGTGAAAATGTTGGCATAATTTCCCTGGAGCTACATTGATCAGTGTGCATGGACCATTTAGCCAGTGCTCAAGGCAAACTGAGCTTTTATAAAAATCAATGTAATGAATGAATCAATGCACTCTATCTATCATCAATATAAAGTATTGGCCCTTTTTCATGATTGGTGTTCACATAAGGTCCATTATCACCCTTACCCTCTACTAACTCATCCAGACTGGTGATCCTCTTGCCTCCATCCAAAGCGTATAAGGTCCGGACTCCTTGAGGAAGGTTGACATTGTCCGACAGAGACCTTGTGAGCTCCATGAGCAGAGCATCCATGGACCGGAACCTGTCGCTAGATATGGCATACACCAAACCTTTAAAATATCTGTCCCCATTGCGATAAAACCGCACTTTTCTGGCTTTTTTCTCGGAGGTGAGGGACTGGAGGGTGCGGGTCCGGTAGAAGCTACAGTGCGCACTGTTCGCTGGGCTGGGGACCACCCCGTTCCCTCTGGAGCCGGACTGGGACCCGGAGCCAGAGTTAGTCCTCGGTGTCCGGTGAGGCTTCTCTCGTTCCTCAAAGTGTTCAAATTCAATACTTCTGCTAAGCGACATGTTGACCAGCTTTCAGTCTTGCTGTTTTATCAGAAATCCCAACCCAACGGAGGATACACGCGTGCGTCTCCTGTCTGCGACCCCAGTCAGCTGTTGTGGGGACACTGTGTGACTGCACCCGTTACTGGGGACAAGTCCAAACGTCCGAACGCTATAAAAAAATAGCTCCAAAAAAAAAGAAACAATGAATTGATTTACAATAACTAAAGTAGTAATCCAAACACCAGATCGGGGTTATCCGGTTGAAAATGTGTCAAATAAAGATCTTTTTTGTTTGACAGGCATTGCAGAGGACCTGAAGGTAGGTTTTCAAACAACGCAGCAAATATTGTTAAACTTCGGCGCACCGCAACAAATACCGCAAGCCGCCTCCTTCTCAAGCTCTCATCCTGCCTCTGACTGGCTGCGAGCTCAGGCTGTCAGATCAGTGGATAAAGAGAGGGGGGGCTTCCCCCTGAGGCTCAGGGTCCTAATGCTCTCTTTTGTTCTGATAATAAATTCACATGAAAACAATTCAGTTTAGCCTATTGTTTTCAAACTGTAAGAATACCATAGAAAGTGTTTCTTCAAAATGTGAGAAAAACGTAAAGAAAGTACAGGCCAAAACACCTTGAAAGTAATACTGGTAAACTAAGTTATACTATATTATACAAAATAGGAGGATTAATATATTATATAAACCTATATTGATGTTAAATTCGTTCATTTGTCAGACACTTTCACTATTTGTTTGAATGATTGAATTGATAACTGCAAAGTTAAATCTTTTTTGAAGAAATATTTTTAATAAACTGAGAAGGCTAATTATTTATCACAGATTATTATTATTATTATAAATTATGTTTTTTTTTGTATCTGTTTCTGATTCTGATTGAGCCTGTTTCATACAACGAGCTAAACACAACACATTGTATTTACTTTATTTATTTTTTAAAGCTTTAAACCGTCAGTTGATATGACGGCCATGGATTGCATTCAGAGATTGAAAGGTTGCTAGATTGCAGACTTAAATAGTCGCACCTTGTTTATGGACATAACATACAACATTGTACAATATTTACATAGAGACAGTTATGTTTGTGTATTAGGACATTAATTCAGTTTGGTTATTTTGCAGAGTGCAGCAAATAATAGACAGGTCTCTATTTCTGCCAAATAGGATTAAAGAGGGTGATGCCAGTTTTGCCCACCACCTGGTGGGTTCCTGGTAAACTCACCACCACCCCCTGCCAGGATCTTAAATGAATGCGTCACCACCTGGCCTAGCACAGCGCGGACCTGAGCCACTGTCACAGCGGCTTGTCAAGAAAGCAGGGCAAGCCTGGTTCCATGCAGACTGGAGACGAGTTAACCCACTTTTCAACGACAGTAGCCTAATTCTTGAACCCAGTGCAACAGAAACTAATAAGTCTTTGCCACATTTTAGAAGCACCCATCAGGGACATGATTATTTTTAAAGGCCCATAGGTCTATTTTTCACTATAACATTTAAATAGTAAATGACAAAGGCAGTGTTTTGTACTTCTAAACGTTTTATATTTAACACAAACCACTTTAACCCTGATTTATTTTACAAACACGATAATGTGAACAAACTGTTGACAACATCAGAAAAAAAACAATTTCAATTGATGTAATCTTTATATTCACTCTTAATTCTTCAATTGGATGTAAATGTACGCCGAAAAAAGTGTCTGCTAGTCTTTGGCGTCCATACAAAGAAACTAACAATATTAAACGTAATCAAAATCCACTCAGTTTAAATAGAACAAGAAAATACAAAAATCATTGCGCATAAAGATGAATAAATCAGACAAATGAGTTTCCAAACATTAAAAGACAGGATGTGTCAGGTGTCAGTCCGGTATTTTTTGTGGACTGACTCTTTTTGTACATTATAACATATTGTGTAGTTAATGGGAACTGAATAATGTAAGTGACCTCATCTGTTTATTCTCCAATGTTTTAATAATTTATTCAATTTTTCTTTGATTTTCTCATTTCATTCATGTTTTTATAAATACCACCAATGGGTTTCCAGCAACATCTTAGGAATGTTTCAAACTGAAAGCCAGCTGTGTCTGATGTATTGTTTGAGCAGCCTCTGAGGGAGGAAGTCACTGCAGAAAGAAAATAGGAAATGCTCTTCCCCCGGCAAAGGGAAATCCTGTACAGAATGACAAAGCAGAAAATCCCTCAATGACAAGAATCCCTCTCTCTAAATTAAAAACAACAATGTGGTAGGCGATAAGGCTTAAGCCTCCTCTGACTCTTTTCTTTCTGTTCTTTTGCTAAGCTACTAATATAATGCAGTTTACAAGGGATTTGGGGAATAATTCTCCCTTAGGCATTTATATGAAATCACTTACCAACACAATCCACTCCTAAGGAAACAATGCTAAGAATGTGATCATTTTCAAAGATCTGGTAGTTTTAATCCAAAATCATGCCTTATGAACACAGGCTACTCATTTAAAGAGATGTAAGGAATGCTTTGACCCTGGTACTTCTACATTTATATAAATCAGATATAATTTACCCTAATGCTCTCTGAATCTTACAATTGGCAATATCTGCATTTTATGATTTTTATATTTGCAAAGGATATTAAGAAACCACATACAAGGTAAAACAAGTCCACCCTGAGGCTCTAGTCATGGCTTGTATTTACTAAAGAGGCCTTTCTAAGGTGCCACATGGACCCTCATCATAATTCAGAAGCAAAGACCATCTTTGGACAGAGGGTAGATAAAAGGCATCAGGAGATTTGAAAAAGAACCCATTTGTCTTTAAACCCACTGACAGGCAGCGTGTGTGGGTGTGTCCATTATTTTTCATGCTAGGCACCAGGTGCCACAACACGCACATCATTTCAGATTAATGTGTCAATAAAAATTAGGATATGGCTCTGGGGTCAAAGGTCAAAAGAGCGGAAAGGCCGCAGTTGGAGAGAGATCAGGGTTTCATCATTGTATTATCTTAATAGAGGCATCAGAGCCACAGCTGCAGTGAACATGGTCAACCCCAGTTTGTGTTACTATGTTTAAAGATAACATCTTGCAAAACAGGGCGTTATTTAACTAATAAACTAATAAATACATATAGAAAAACCAACTAGCATCTAAAACTACAAATGGCTGTTGTGCTTTTATGAGGTCAAGATAATTTATGTCTGATCTAATAAAGTTGAAAGATACTCCGACGCCCTCTAGTGTTCACCACTCAACAATAACTAAGGGGGATAGAAAACGCTATATTTTGATTTCACATTTAATAAAAAAAAGACAGATTTTTTCTTATAGAAAGTAAAATGATTCAAAGGTCAATGTTCACACGAATATTAATTTGTTTAAAAAAGTCCAGATCATTGTTTGAAACACCATTCATGTCAAAATCAGACCATTAATCAAAATCATTCAATCTCACGTTTTGTAGTCAAATCATCACCCACATAAGTGCAATAGTCCCTAAGCACAAATATAGAGTCCACAGGCGATGCCCTCTGTCTGGCCCGGGCACTGAGAGGGGGTCCCAGTATGCCTAGCCTAAGTTAACCTTTTTCCAAATACAGTATTCTTGTAGTCAGGCCCTCACCTGGGACCAATTTGCTTTCAGAGACCTTAAAAGGAGCTGTTGCCTCTGACTCCCATGATCACAGGGGCATGGAAACTCCTTGGCTATAATAAGATAGTGATTCTCAGAGGGGTGCAGAGGAACCCACATGCCAAAAGAAAATTAGCTGCATTCACAAGTACCAGAAATATAATTTAGGTCATGTTGAGTCCAAGCATGACATGCAATTAAAACAAGAAAAAATATCCCTTTAGATTGTAAATGTGGCCATCACCCATATCATTAAGGATCCAGTTCCATCAGATTACATTTTTGTCTCACGTTTATTGCACATTCGGACACCTAGACAAATAATGATCATCCTCAGCCATGACCCTCTGCAAAGTTATGAGGATAATAAAAAATGTGTCACACACTGCCATTGTAATTTCATCAAGTAAATCTCCTGCCATCGGAGAGTGAAGTGTTAAATGTTCTCAAGGTAAAAAATAACCAGCAAGGCTACATTTTCTACTTTTATCCTTTACCAAGTAGTTCGCCTACAGCAATGAAAAAAAGGCTCACAGCAGGGATTCATAAGCCTCGGCATGATCAAAGACAAGGTTATTCCAGGTGCCAGACAATGTGGAACACAGCCTGGTCTCAAATCCTATAAAACTAACCTAGCCCTCCTGTCCAGGCAAATTGAATTACTTCAGGTTTTACACCATTTGGCAGCAGTGAGGGGCCATGTTTTCCCACATTGACCCAGTTCTCTCACGTTCTGTTAAGGGTAGAGTAGACAATGTTGTTGCCATGTTGGTTAACATGATGCTGTAAGTGAGTGTTACCTCATCTAACCTGAGAAGAATTAAGACCCCAGTCAAAGTCCCATGTGAGTCGGTGTTAGAGATGTATTGGAATCAGATTTATTTACATGTGGGCATCAAATGTTAATGTACAGCCTACAGTTGATGTGGCAAAATCAGGCTGCTCTGGGTGAAACAACTAAACGTTTATATTGGGGGGTATTTCACACTAGCCATGCAGTCAAATAGCTTCAGGGTATATCTTTCTGCCTGCTTTTGTAATAATTTCCAATTTCAACTTTGCATAAAAATAAACGTCACACAGCTGATCATTAACCATGTTTATGTATTCTATCTCTTTTAAGTGAGTGCATTTGTAGAATATGAATGCATTTCAAAGTTAAACTTGAAAATGTGACTATTGTTATAACAGTATTTGTTTCTTCTTAAACTATACTGCTATCATTTACAGCAAGTCATAACACATGGCAATAGTCCCTGCTGAAAAACGTATTTTTTCATATTAAACTGTCAAGTTTTCAAATATAAAAGTTATTTCACTTTGACATATGATGTTGTTTGGTGTACTATTGACGAAAGCATTGAATGAATAATAGTATTATATTATTACCAACACTTTGTGTGTCTGACCACTGGATGGGGCTCTTACACCTGCGTTTCACTGCAGCTGCACTGATCACTTGAAATTGGTTAACTTGTGTTTCTTTTTAAAAATCCATACCATTACTTTTTATTTTTTATATTTCAGGTTAATATTCATGTATTAATCTTGTGGTTCTTCAGTTGACTTTTTAAGATTGACCTCAAAGAGATGCATCATTTTAATGAGCACATGGAGGGCTTGATTCAGTGCCATACTCCTCTTATAATGGCAACCTCATAATAATATACAAAGGGGAGAGAAGCAATGGGAAGAGTACAAAAAATAAGAGCAAAGGAAGAGGGGAAAAGATTATTTTTAAAGAACAATTGAAGTGTAAGGAAGAAACACGG